GCTACAAACGCTTCGAAGCATTCTTTGATTAGTCAATTATCGTAAAATTCTTTGGTCTGATTGGTTCGCTCAAACGCTTCGATGCGTTTGTAGCGTCAAGTGGACCGCAGCCTACATCATGATCCGGATAATCGTTTATCGACACCCCGCATAATTAGAATTCAAGAGCTGCGCAGTTCTTTTACTATGATAAAAAAGCGCGGAAACGTTAAGCCCATGGCACATACAAAAACGTAAGGCCGTAAGACATAATCAGTAAGCGAATTGGCCAATCACGATAGAGACCGATCAGTTTTTGGTTTCTCACCGTCAGATTGCGTCACCTAGTACGAATGTGTCGTATGCTAAGTATTTGGGAGAATGTAAGGGCCCTAGCACACAAAAAACTTAAGACAGTAAGACATAAGCAGTAAGGAATCAACATGTTGGATTCGCTACTGCTTATGTTATTATATTATGGTCTTACGAACTCTACTGTGATTAGTCAATTTGCTTACTGCTTACGTTTTACTGCTTAAGTTTTTTTATGTGCCATGGCCCTAACCCTAACCAATTTCTGCATCCATGAATGCCCTATGGAGCTTTGATCGCGTCCAACCAGAGTAGACCGAGTCGCGTGATGCAGTAATTTGCCACTCTCCCTGTGAGGCTCTCTAGATCAAGCGTTTTATATTTTTACGCACTTGACGTCATGATGCTACCGCGTCACTTGATATCAAAATTGTAATTTGCCTAGGTCGCAGTTATAAACTTTAAGTTAGCACAACCACTATTTCTATCAAATCGGCTGAAACAATAAAAACGCGACTAAAGCAACGAAAAAGTATTAAATTTATAATATGTTAAGACCTTACGGACTCTACTGTGATTGGTCAATTCGCTTACTGCTTACGTTTTATTGGCTGCGTTCAGCAGAACATTTGTTTTGCAACTGTTGTAAGTTTCCTTCGCGCTAATTGGATCATACTTTTAGATCTAGAAGAATGGTCCTATCTCAGCAGACAATCATAAAACGGTTGCAAAACTGTTGAGTCTGCTGAATGCAGCCATTGCTTAAGTTTTTTGTGTGCTATGGCCCTTATAACGAAAACGAAACTTATGAATTACAGAAATTTAAGAATTACAGAACAGGGGGTCTATTCTTGAAAAGAAACGTATATTAAAGTCTAGGGAAATATTACAGTATACGTTACGTATACTATACTATTTTCCTAGTTCTTCGTATACGTTTCTTTTCAAGAATAGAGCCCCAGGCCTGTGGAAGATATGCTCAAACTATTTCGGGAGTGCTTTTTAGGCCCCTAAATCTTCTTTAATTATAACATTATCATATATGCTTACAGATTGATTGCGTACAAAATATATAAGATATTGAAAGTATATACAAAATATATTGATATACAAATATATTGACCCAGCAAACACAAAGGCTGCGTTCAGCAGAGAAAGCAGCTTTGCAACTGTTGTAAAATTCTTCAATATGATTGGTTTATACATTTAGATCTGTCAGGAACCAAAAGCAAGAACCAATCATATTGAAGAATTTTACAACAGTTGCAAAGCTGCTTTCTCTGCTGAACGCAGCCAAAGTTACATGTAACGTACCTGTTAGTTGTAATAAACACACGTATTATATTACAATTATATTGTTGAGTGGGAAATTACAACTAACAGGTACGTTACATGTAACTTTGTGTTTGCTGGGGATATACAAAATATATTGATTGCATACTTAAATTATATAAGAAAATAATTTGTGTTTTTAAAATAGATAAATTTGTGTTTCTCCAAAGCAGAGAATTGGTGTTTTTAAACTAGAGAATAGTGCTTGCAGGCAATCTATATACAAGCAGTAATATTATGTGTGCAACGCAGTTTTTTTTGCGTAATAGTATAGCGTGTGCAAACGTGTCTTTTTTGAATCTTATTATATATTTGTGTGCGGTATAGTGCATGTAAGCAATCAAGTTATAGGCAATTATTTTTCTGCCCAAATGAACTGTCGGCAAATATATAGGCAAACGGGTGCTGTAGGCAATCAATTTGTAGTGTTCTGTCCCTCGGAATAATACATCAATCTTTATTTAAATCAAAAAGTTTTTACCCAGAGTTTTATTAAAAGAATATGGCGATGATTCGAATAACTGAGAAAGGCACTAATTATTGATGTACTAATATCAATCGCTTTAATATAAATTCTTGTATATCGATTTATAATAATACACTGTAAAAAAAAAAGGAAATTCAACTCGAATTGACGTAAACCAACTCAATCTCAGAGTTAAATATGGCGAACTAACTACTGTCAGATTGCGTCAAGAAAAATTTTAACTTTCTTTAATATCTTCCTCTCTCTCTCTTGTGTTATAAACATTGAATTTATTTCTATGAAATATTTATAATATTGACTAAACTATTATTGACAGTAAATGAACATAATTATACACACACAACGCTGGTAGAAAAATTTTGCTGAAATTATTTCACATTTTGGAATATTTTTCAGCAAAATTAATTTCAGCATTTTTGAAAATTTTCAGTTTAATTTTAGCGACTTTTAGCTGAAAAATTCATTTCGGTTAAAAAAATAACTGCTATTGAATTGAAGATGCTTTTTTTGTTGTCTTTCATTGATTTTTTTCCACGTTTTCGACGCTGAAGAAAATATTTTGATTCCAAGAAAAAAAGATATGTTTTTAACGTACGTTTCAATATCTATTTTCTTTGTCGACATTTCAATCATATACTATGGCTACGTTCCACTTAACGCTCGCACGTTCGCGAGCATCGTTTGTCCTTGTTTAACATTTGATAAACGACAAGGATGAAATGATTCCACGAGCGTTGTGAGCGTTAAGTGGAACGTAGCCTATATAAGCCACATAACGGCCGTTACTAGGCGGATGATTTTACTCCGGAACGAATTTCATCATTCTAAAAATTTTTTTCTTAAAAGTGAGACTTCTGACTGTGCATTATATCCAACCAATCCCCCCGCTGTGAGGGATCAAGGCTATCGATAGGAATATGATGTTAGCAACGTAGTTCTTTCCGGTGATGCGTTCTAGAACATTTTTGAATAATGAAAACTTTTCCCTAAATTGTAATGAATAATGATATTAATGATAAAATAT